TAAATGTGTTTTACAGTAGTAGGACCCTACCACAGTTTAATTTTTTTTTTTTTTTTTCAGTAAAATAGCCTTAAGGCAACTTTTTTTTTAATAGTAAAATGCTCTTGAACACATTTTAATTTTACAGTATGGCCCTTTTTTCACCAGTTTTACTGTAATATACAGTATTCAGATTTACATTAGCTGTACAAAATCTATTATTTTATTTATTTTTTGGTAGTTAATATCAAATTGTTTACATTCCAAACAAGTGATTTATTTTTTCATCAACTGTTTTGATTTTTGTCTTCAACTGCAGTAGCAGTGCTTGGTTACTTTGATTACAGTAGAATACCAAAAATTCCTAATATGCAGTAAATTACTGTAAAAGCTTAAAAATGACCCGCAGTGCATATTACAGTAGTGAACTGTAAAGAATGTATGTGGTATGTTACTGGGCATTTTTGCGGTAAATAACTAAAATTGCAGCAAAGTCTAACAGTGTTCAGACGAAGCAAATAAGCCCCTTTACAGTAACTTACCTGTAAATGTGTTTTACAGTAGTAGGTCCTTACCGCAATTTCATTTTGTACAGTAAAATAGCCTTACCGCATCTTCTTTTTATAATAAATGTATTTTGACACATTTTCATTATACAGCATGAAAATTTATACTAGTTTTACTGTAATTTATTTACATTTTACACTAGCAGCACAAAACCTTTATTATTAGCATTGACTAATACTGAATTTAATCAATTCCTAACAAGCATTTCATTTTTTCATCAACTACAGTAGCAGTGCTTAGTTACTTTGATTACAGTAAAATACAGCAAATTCCTAATATGCAGTAAGTTACTGTAAAAGTCCTACAATTAGCCACAATGCAGTGCTTATTAAATTAGTGACCCTATAAAGAAGGTTTTTACTGTGATTACTTTTTACGGTAATTACTGGGTGTTATTGCGGTAAATAACTGTAAAATTGCAGCAAAGTCTAACAGGGTTCAGACGGAGCAAATATGCTTTGTGTGATGTTTGCCATTCATTTTCATCGTCTTTAAGGCTCACGACTGATGTATTGTTTAGTCTTGTTGGACTGGACGGATTGTCAAACCTGCCGCTGCTGTCAGGGCTCACCCCACCTGGGATTTTGAAGAGTTTGACGGCGATGGAAATTAATTGGAGGCATTTGTTTACGTGTATGGCCGTGATGGGAGTCCCCAGGCTCCCGGTCTGTCATCCCGATCTGTCAGCGCAGACCTGGACGAGGCAGGAGTCAGTGTTTGTAGCTGGGTTTCCATCACGCTGTTTTAATACGCTTTTTTGCATCAAAAACAAGGGTTATAGTAGCCAAGAGGATTATATTGAAAGACTTGGAAATAAACAGTTTGCCATGTTTTCAGAGATGGCGATAAAAGATGGCCTCTGTATTACATTTTGAGACATATATTTAATGTAAATATTACAAAGTGTCTTAAAAAGTTGTCTGAAGTCTGGGGTCCCTTCCTCCTTCAGTATTTACAATATATTAGGCATTCATGTCATTTGTATTAGTAGGCAAGCCTTTCTCATCTTTTTTAATTATATATATATATATATATATATAAATATATAATTTTGTTTTGGGTTTGTGTTGTTGAGTTGTGTTTTTGTTTTGTGATTTGTGTTGTGTTTTTGTTTTGAGTTTTGTTTTGTATTTGTGTTGTTGAGTTGTGTTTTTGTTTTGTGATTTGTGTTGTGTTTTTGTTTCGAGCTTTGTTTTGTATTCGTTTATGTTTTGTTTGTTTTTATTTATATTTGTTTTTGTGTTTGTTTTGTATTTGTTTTTGGTTTTGTTTTGTTTTTGTTTTGTTTTGTTTTGTGTGTTGTGTTTTATTTTACTTTTTTGTGTTTTGTTTTGATTGTTTTTTTATTTATGTTTTGTTTTGTTTTGTTTATATTTTTTGGTGTGTTGTTTTGTGTTTTTTTTGCGGGGGTCGTGTTTTGCTTTTTTGTTTTTTGTTTAGTTTGTTTTGTTTTGTGTTTCCTTTAGTTTTTGTTTGTTTTGTGTGTTTTGTTTTCTTTGGTGTTGTGTTGTATTTTGCTTTTGTTTTTTGTGTTTTGTTTTGATAAATGTATTATTTATATTTAGTTTTGTTTAGATTTTTGGTGTTTTTTTTTGTTTTGTTATTTGTGTTTTGTTTTGATTTTCTGGTGTTTTTTTGTGTGTTTTGTTTAGTTGTTGATTTTTGGTGCTTTTCTGTGTTAAGTTTTGATTTTTGTCATTTGTGTGATGTTTAGTTTTGTTTTGAATTTTGTGTGTTTTGTTCTGATTTGTTTTGTTATTTGTTTTTTGTTTTAATTTTTGGTGTTTTTGTGTATGTTTTGATTTGTTTTGTTATTTGTTTTAATTTTTGGTGTTTTTTGTTTTGTTATTTTTGTTTTGTTTTGATTTTTGTTATTTGTGTTATGTTTAGTTTTGTTTAGATTTTTGTGTGTGTGTGTGTGTGTGTGTGTGTGTGTGTGTGTGTGTTATGTTTAGTTGTTGATTTTTTGTGTTTTTGTGTGTTTTGTTTTGTCATTTGTGTTTTGTTCAGTTTTGTTTTCTATTTTGGTGTTTTGTTTTGTGTTTTATTTATTTATTAATTTCAGTATTCATCATGTTATAAATGTAAATATATAACTTTCTCTCAAACCCCTGATATTTACATACTGTCATTTTCTGCAATAAACAGAGGTTGCGTTTTTTGTCATTTTTATAATCATTTCTCTTGACTTTAGCCAGGGTTTCACAGAAAGAGTTACACATAAATACTTTATTTATTTTAATATTTATTTTTGAATCTATTTACCTAATTTTAAGGCAGAGACCTCTCATTCTTATTTAAATTGTTGTCTTTGATGTCTTGATATCTTTTGATATTATTACCTTCAAAAACAAATTTATTACAGCTTCTTCTTGTAATCCATAAAGCTTTTTCCAAAAATACTTTCTTTGTGCAGTAAATAGAGCAGATGTCTTCAAAAGGGGCAGAAATACACAAGAATGAGTGCAATTCGGCCATTTGAAGGCCAAAGGGTTGTTGTGTTTTTGAATGATTCTGGAAAGAATGTGGTTTGCCACAGATATAAGAGCAAGGCTTTCAGAGTTATTGAAGGTGAAGTATGTCATTTGTTGGGTTGTTAAAATGCTTTCTTCTGTGATATTTTGTCTTTGTCTTGTTTTTTTTTTTTTTTTTTTTTTTTTTTTAAGATAAGCAGGCCTTAGTCCTACACGTTTGATCTTGAAAGTTTTTTTTTCTATTTGTTTGTTTATTCAGCATTTTATTTATTACATATATTACAATATCTTGTTATTTGTCAATTTTATTTTATTTTTTATTTGCAACTTATAGCAGATCTAGGGTATGGTTGTTAATAATCTTGAAATTATTCAAGTTTGGCTTCAAAACGTTTAATTATTTATTTGTTTTTTATTTATTTATTTATTTATTTAGTTAGTTAGTTAGTTTGTTAGTTAGTTAGTTAGTTAGTTAGTTAGTTAGTTAGTTTTGTTTGTTTGTTTGTTTGTTTGTTTGTTTGTTTGTTTGTTTGTTTGTTGAAATAGTTTTTTACCAGTTTGTGTGTGTTAGTTTATTTTAGTTTAGTATAGCTTATTTTTAATTAAGTACAGTTTATTTTTAATGAAATATTAAATTATTTTAATTTTAATTTATTTTTTGTTGATTTTAGTGTATTTTTGTTTAGTTTATTTATTTATTTAATTATTTTTGGGTTATAGCAAGTTTTTTTAATATTTTAGTTTTTATTTTATTGTAGTTTTTTGTTGTTGTTTTTAATTTTTTTTAGTTTAGTTTATTTTTATTTCTTGTAGTTTAGTTTATTATTATTTTTTTGTTTAGTTTAGTTAACTATAATTGTAAAACTATATAAACACAGTTAAATTCCGAATTATTAGCCCCCCTGAATTATCAGCCCCCATTTTTTACCCCAATTTCTGTTTTTGAAGAGATTTTTCCAACACTTTTATAAACATAATAATTTTAATAACTCACTTCTAATAACTGATTTATTTTATTTGCCATGATGACAGTAAATAATACTTTAGTAGATTTTTTTAAGATACTAGTATTCAACTTAAAGTGAGATTTAAAGGCTTAACTAGGTTAATTAGGTTAACTAGGCAGGTTAGGGTAATTAGGCAAGTTACTGTATAATGATGGTTTGTTCTGTAGACTATCGAAAACAAATATAGCTTAAAGAGGCTAATAAAACTGCTTTTATTCTAGTCAAAATAAAAACAAATAAGACAAAACAATAAGAAAAAATATTATCAGACATACTGTGAAAATGTCCTTGCTCTGGTAAACATCATTTGGGAAATATAAAAAAATAAAAAAAATAAAAGGGGGGCTAATAATTGTGACTTCAACATTATATATATATATATATATATATATATATATATATATACAGGTAGATTCAAAAAGAATACCACAACTCTGAAAATCTGTACCTTGGGTAATTAATCAGTGTGAAGAGTACTTAACACACTTCAGAGCTTCCTTAAATCAACGACAGAACGAGCTTAGATCTCCTTTTTTTCTTTGCAGAGTCTCGATTTTTATAGTTGTGGAATTGTTTCAGAATCACCCTGTACTGTTTATTATTAGTTTTTAAATGATCCCCTATTTGTTTTGGTTTTTCACATTTATTTTTGTCAGAAATACATGTAGGTCTAACTTTCTCTTTTCAAACATTTGCTAAACGTTTTATTTGTGTTTTATTTGTGTCTAGTAAAATTGTATTTTTCTCAGCAGAAAAATAAAATTCTGAACCGAGTCATTTATCAGTATTACAATACAGTAATGTGCATTGTTGTGGTTCTCAGGAGTGACTACTGTATGATCATGACCACTCGGTAACTATGAGTTTAGTTTAGCTTATAGTTTAGTGCCAAACACAAATGAAATTGAAAGTCCTTTCTCAGTATTATTTACAGTACAGTAATGTGCATTGTTGTTGTCTGTGTTCCTCTCAGGCGTGACCACTGTACTGACCATGACCACTCTGAGCATCAGCGCCCGTAACTCTCTGCCCAAAGTAGCCTACGCCACCGCCATGGACTGGTTCATCGCCGTGTGCTACGCCTTCGTCTTCTCCGCCCTGATCGAATTCGCCACCGTCAACTACTTCACTAAGCGTGGTTGGGCTTGGGATGGCAAGAGCGTGGTCAACGACAAGGTAATGATCATTAATCAGCGCCCAGCAGGTCTGTGTGCTGTTTGGTTGGGTGGCGTATAGATTATATTGATTGACGTGTTGACGGAGCGTTAAGTCTTTGAGTGATGTGACGTCTCCAGGGACAAATGAAGCGACATGGGAAATTCAAGCCTGGACTGGGAGCTTGTTAGGTTGATGTGGATTTGGCCTCTTCATTATGGAAACAACATGCAGATTTTTATTTCAGCATTTATTAACAGAGACTATGCATATTAATAATATAAATAAGCCTATTACAAGGCACACAAGTGCAGCAAACAGCCAATCACACGACACATGAGTGCAGCAAACAACCAGTTACATGACGCATAAAAGCAGCAAACAGCCAATCACACGACACCTGAGTGCAGCAAACAGCCAATCTGATGACACAAGTGCAGCAAACATTAAATCACGCAACACATGAGTGTGGCAAACATCCAATAACACAACACATGAGTGCAGCAAACATCCAATCAAATAACACCTGAGTGCAGCAAACATCCAATCATATAACACGTGAGTGCAACAAACAGCCAATCAAATAACATGAGTGCAGCAAACAACCAATCACACGACACCTGAGTGCAGCAAACAGCCAATCAAATAACACAAGTGCAGCAAACATCCAATCAAATAACGCATGAGTGCGGCAAACATCCAATCACATAACACGTGAGTGCAGCAAACAGCCAATCAAATAACATGAGTGCAGCAAACAACCAATCACACGACACCTGAGTGCAGTAAACAGCCAATTAATTAACACGAGTGTAGCAAACATCCAATCAAATAACACATAAGTGCGTCAAACATCCAATCACATAACACGTGAGTGCGGCAAGCAGCCAATCACACAGCACATGAGTGCAGCAAACAACCAATCACACAGCACATGAGTGCAGCAAACGAACAATCACACGACACCTGAGTGCAGCAAACAGCCAATCACACAGTACATGAGTGCAGCAAACAGCCAATCACACGACACCTGAGTGCAGCAAACAGCCAATCACACAGTACATGAGTGCAGCAAACAGCCAATCACACGACACATGAGTGCAGCAAACAGCCAATCACACAGCACATGAGTGCAGCAAACGACCAATCACACGACACCTGAGTGCAGCAAACAGCCAATCACACAGCACATGAGTGCAGCAAACGACCAATCACACGACACCTGAGTGCAGCAAACAGCCAATCAAATAACACGAGTGCAGCAAACAGCCAATCATGCAAGGCATGAGTGCAACAAACAGCCAATCACATGACACATGAGTGCAGCAAACAGCCAATCATGCAAGACATGAGTGCAACAAACAGCCAATCAAATGACACCTGAGCGCAGCAAACAGCCAATCATGCAAGACATGAGTGCAGCAAACAGCCAATCACAAGACACCTGAGTGCAGCAAACAGCCAATCAAATAACACGAGTGCAGCAAACATCCAATCAAATAACACATGAGTGTGGCAAACATCCAATCACATAACGCATGAGTGCAGCAAACAGCCAATCAAATAACATGAGTGCAGCAAACAACCAATCACACGACACCTGAGTGCAGCAGACAGCCAATCAACTAACATGAGTGCAGCAAACATCCAATCAAATAACACATGAGTGCAGCAAACTTCCAATCACATAACACGTGAGTGCAGCAAACAGCCAATCACATGACACATGAGTGCAGCAAACGGCCAATCATGAGACACATGAGTGTAAAATCACACTCTAAATTAAAAAACTACAACTGTATAAATATTAATCCTAGGATTATATATTTACATGTTGTGTAGTTAGTATTGTGCTCTTTCTCTGTGTTGCTTTGGGTTTGCTCATGAATTCTAAATGGTATTATGTGCAGCAAATATGGGTTTGTTTTCCATCCACATTTCATCACATCCCCACAGTCAATGGGCAGTCTTATTCTCATTATCTGAGACTGATTATTATCAGTTCCCTAAACCTCTCTTCCTGCCCTAGTCAGAATCGGTAGCACAAGATCATTGCTTATTCATGAGCCTTCGAATATTTCCCACAAACCACATTTTTTTTCCCAGTAAAGGTCAGTAAGCCAATCAGAAATGACAGCCAGTAGAGCCGATATGTTTATGCAGATTTTGGCACCGTCTTCCGCCGTCACAGTCACAAAAAGTAGACCTGCATTTTTGTGGTTTCATTTATTTGATGTTTATGTCTGAAGAACTAAAAATGTATAATAATAAATAATAAATCATTAATATTATTGTTGATATTGTTAAAGTTATGTTTTCTCTTCAAACATCAATATGTAAATGTATATATTATTAGTAAGTATATATATATACTGTGAGGCAGTGGCGCAGTAGGTAGTGCTGTCGCCTCACACCAAGAAGGTTGCTGGTTCGAACCTCGGCTCAGTTATTGTTTCTGTGTGGAGTTTGCATGTTCTCCCTGCATTCGCGTGGGTTTCCTCCGTGTGCTCCGGTTTCCCCCACAGTCCAAAGACATGTGGTACAGGTGAATTGGGTAGGCTAAATTGTCCGTAGTGTATGAGTGTGTGTGTGTGGATGTTCCCCAGAAATGGGTTGCGGCTGGAAGGGCATCCGCTGTGTAAAAACTTACTGAATAAGTTGGCGGTTCATTCTGCTGTGGCGACCCCGGATTAATAAAGGGACTAAGCCGACAAGAAAATGAATGAATGAATAAAATAACTCATTGAAATTAATTACCATACACTACTGTTATCCAAAAAGTCTTGTTTTTAAGTTGAACTGCATAGCGTAAGTGTGATTTAAAAGTATTTTAAAAGGCCATCAATTAATTTACACAGAAAAATAAATAAACCTATAGTTTTTATTTTTTTGCATTTAATACATTTGATTTTGGGTTCTTCTTCATTTACTTCCCGAAAACACTCCTCTGCATTATAGCTCACATGTTTATTCAGAATCTGCTGCATACATTTCCTTAACCGACGTAATAATAAATTATTTAAGCATGAAATTGGCTCTGTGG